CCCGTCGGATCTACCACCCTCTTTCCCCCTCCCTCCCCAAAGTAAGCCGGCAACCACCTTTCGATCCCAGGATCCATCTCCACCACCTCCTCCCTCACCAAATCCCCACTCTCATCCAACAACCCCGCAAATAAAGCTGTCATATCCATATCAAGCGTCAAACCACCCCTCGCATGATTCGCTGGTCTTCTTGCTTTCCAATTCTTTCTTTTCATGCTGGGACGACGAGACCGCCCGCCGTTCTTAGCAACGTAGCACCCTTGAGCACCGCACCGGATGACGAGGGCGTATGATTGGAGCGGCATGGAGCCGAGGAGTTGATCGCAGGCGCGCTCTACCCAAGTTTTACTGACCTCATCTGTTAGGGGGTCAATTTCAGATCCTACGTCACCCATGAATCCGGCTAGTTCATGAGCATTAGGAGACAGAATGTCAATATAAGGGAGGCAGTTGGTGCAGTTGAGGAGTTCAGTGGGGAGGCAGAGATCAGGGACGGGCTCCCAGATGAAGAGGGGTTTCTCGATGTCTTTGTTGAGGGCTTTGCGGGCGCGGAGGATGGCGGTTACGAGGTCGATGCAGCGGGTTGGCGAGCAGATTAGGTGGAAGGACTTGGAGAGGAGGAGGGTCGGTGTTAGGGAGTCGGTTGTTAGGCGGAGTTTGGGGGTTGTGTATTTGAAGGCGCGGTTTTGGGAGGAGTCGTAGCCGTTCCAGCCTCGAGTCCTTTGGGAAGTGTTAGCATTTTACCTCAATTTCATAGTGAATGGAGCGCGCGTAGGGGGCTTAAGCGAGGCTCGAGACCAGCGAACCAGGAGTCCGAAAAGCTGTTCCGACTCCTGCTGTATCTGAAATGCTTGGTGGGTGGTATGAATCTGTGTACATACGTTAGACGACTCTCATCCTCCCGTATGAGGCAAGAAGTCTGCCATGATTCGATCTGCTCTGTGAGACTTGGCGGGAAATCAGATCCTTTGTCAACAATCCAGGAAACAGTCTTAGACAATGGCGGAGGCGAGAATAAGCGAGCCCCCAAAGCCGAGAAAGATCCTGCTCCGCCAAGTATGTCGAAAACTGGTGGTGTTGGTGGGAGATAATGGATCTCATCTAGAGTTCGTTTGTCAGACTCAACTGAATGCGGGTGGCTGCATGATGACGGAAAAAGGAAGATGTGTATGCGGCGACTGGTCTTGGAAGTAAATCAGGAACTTGAACTTGTGGACTTTTAAATCTTATGGAACATAGAAATAGCCGGAAATATTGTCGTGTAAGTATGTATCCTACTTCGGTATCGCATGAAAATTCTATGTCCGTGTCCCCCACTTCTTACTGAACTGATGGAAGACTTCAAGTCATTTTGTTGCAGATTCCAAAGAAAACTGGAAGGAGTACGTGAGCAGACTTCTGCGTTACAAAATCATATTGTGATAATGATGATCCTAATTGCGTACATAGCAAAATAATGACAGACGTTTCAATAACAGCGTTGCTCACATGTCACACCGACATAAGGCTCCACAGAAAAATAAACAAAAAGCAAAAGCATTACATAGACAAGGGAACAAGCTGTCTCACCTATTATGAACATTCCAAGTGTACAAAAATCTATCTCCTGATCAGGAACATTTTGATCCTCGTCCTCCATGATCCTTTGTCGCAGTGATCACTGTTGTCTTGGTGCCTTGTAGTTGTCTCAAGTGCGTCTCGAAGCCAAGGCTGAATAACATTTAGCGATGCGGTAGCCTCGCTGGCGGGCCTCAGGCGCTGCGCTGCAGGTGGTACAGGGCAGGCGGCCAAGACAAAATCATGTCAGGGATCGTCGGACCTCATCCCGTCTGGACTGCGTGGAGCTATCAAGCAAGTTCAAGGCATCAATGTCAACATAACGAAGCTTGGGTCCTGTGTTGAATTCCTGTCTCCTTAACATTTCCCCTCTCGCAATTGCGGTCGCAAGCTTCACTCAAGCATCCATCCCCTTTCGCACACATCAGTCAGTCAGTCAGCCGTCGACAGCCCCAGCGCATCGTTGATCATTCCTCAATTCACTCCTGTCACTTGGAACACCTCAGCATCGCTGGTCCCTGCAGCCACCATGGCAGCCAACAACATGCATAATCTGACTACCCTCATCAAACGGTATGGTGATACCTTTCTTCGTTCCTAATTCACATACATTCTGCCAATTCCGCAATCATCATGGACGACAACTCCATGCCCACCATCCACAGAATGGATCTAACAGCTATCCTGAGCAGGCTCGAAGCTGCCACCTCCAGACTGGAGGACATGGCGTCTTCCTCCATTGAAATTCCAGCTATCAATGGAGCTCCTACGCCTGCCCCAACAGGCCCTCTGCCTGCGCCGCCTGTTGCGAAAGCCCCATCACCGAAGCCTGTCCAAGAAGCTCTTCCCGAATCTGTCGAGGACTTCGATGCCTTCATTGCCGGTACCGTGAAGAAGTACGTCAACCTCAGTGATGAGTTGGGGGGACCGGTTGCCGAGCAGGTAGGAAGAATCGCAAATTCTACAAGAAGTTGGGATTGACAAGAATACAGGCCTCCAGCGTTTTGCGAGCTTTTGCTGGACAACGAAAGTTTATCCTTATTACCACGAAAGCGAAGAAGCCTGATATGAGCAGTCCGGTCTTTATGCAACTTCTGAAACCTCTCCAGGACTCTATCACGTCCGTCAGCGAACTTCGAGATGCCAACCGTGGATCACCCGTTTTCAACCAGCTCAGTGCTGTCTCCGAGAGTATTGGTGTACTTGCTTGGGTTACAATGGACACAAAGCCACATAAGCACGTTGAAGAATCTTTAGGATCTGCGCAATACTGGGGAAACCGAGTTCTGAAAGAGTACAAGGAGAGGTAAGACATTTGAGGGAACATTTGGAATCAGGTGCTGACTGTTGGTAGCGATCCGAAGCAAGTCGAATGGATACAATCTTACTACTCAGTATTCAAGGATCTAGCGGAATATATTAAGCAGACCTTCCCTCAGGCCATCCCATGGAACCCCAAAGGTCTGTCTGCGGAGGAAGCAATCAAGGCCGTCGAGCAAACCCAACCAGCTCCTCCAGCTCCTCATCCAAAAGCTGCGGCAGGAGCACCCCCACCACCGCCTCCCCCAGGACCTCCTCCGCCACCTATAAAGTTCGACAGTGCCCCTCCTCCACCACCAACAGCAGGAGGCGGTCTTGATGCTGTGTTCAGTGATCTGAACAAGGGAGAAGCTGTCACGAAAGGTCTCCGGAAGGTCAATGCTGACCAGATGACACACAAGAATCCATCGTTGCGAGCTGGTGCTACTGTACCGCAAAGAAGCGACAGTGCATCAAGTGTATCCTCGAATCGTGGGAAGAGCCCTGCTCCTGGGAAGAAGCCCAAGCCAGAAAGCATGCGGACGAAGAAGCCCCCTGTCAAGAGGCTTGATGGGAACAAGTGGATTATCGTAAGTTCAGAACGTCATCCTTAGGTAGTGCCGTCCTAATTATGACTAGGAAAACTACGACAATGAGTCTGCGCCAGTCAAGATTGAAGCCACCATGTCACAGTCTATTCTGATCAGTCGTTGCAACAAGACGACAATCATGGTCACTGGTAAAGCAAACGCCATCTCAATCGACAACTCACCACGACTGTCTCTGGTGATCGAGTCTCTGGTTTCTTCCATCGATGTCATTAAATCCTCGAACTTTGCTCTCCAAGTCCTCGGCACTCTCCCAACAGTCATCATGGACTCTGTCGATGGTGCCCAGATATATCTCGGTAAAGAGAGCATGCAGACGGAAGTCTTCACCAGTAAATGCTCTGGTGTCAACTTGAACATCATCTCAGGAGACGATGAAGAGGATGAGGATTACAAGGAGGTTCCTCTGCCTGAACAGCTGCGCACGTACATTACCGAGGATGGAAAGATCGAGACCGAGATTGTAGAGCATGCTGGTTGAATGTGTGTTGATTGATGTTATGCTGAGTCGTGGGCATTCTGAAGCTTAGAACTTTCTTGTAGAATATGGCGTATATTTATCACTTCAGGAGTTGAGCCGGGAGCTTGACCTCTTGGGTTGAGTTTCCAGGCAATTCAAAGCATTTGACAACATCTGTTGTCGCCATATTCCTCCTGTTTCCTGACACTCTATAAATTGCACTGGTTGAAGCACGACTTTGAGACTCGAGTATTATTGTATCCACTTCAAATCGTGCAATTCGCTTAACCAAAAAGAAGAAAGAAAGAAAATTCTCACCAAGTAAAGAGATAGATCAAAGAAAAATTTCTCTTCGAACCTCCCTCAAACTTCGAAGAAAAACTAAAAAAGGGCAAAAATAAAAATAAAGTGTTCGTATAATCAAGGTAAACTCCTCGATTCGCAGATGAATGCGGCTTCTGTGGATCGAACACAGTGCCTCCAGATATCAAAGTTCGAAAGTTCGAAGTTCAAGGTTTATTCCTGAAGTTGGATCTTCAGTCTGGCGCTCTCCCAAGTGAGCTAAAGCCGCCTTTTGGGGGTGTTTGATGAAGAGAAAATAGCTGTATTTGGGTTCTAGTAGAGGGAGAATATGTGGGATGGTAAGGGCTGTGGGGTGGGTCGGGAGGATGTCGGCTGAGGAAACGGGAGAAAGGAGTGGAGTGGATATGAGGCGTGACTTTGCTGGAACGGGAAGCGTGTTTTGGAGGATTGAGAGAATGAGAGGTATTGAAGCAATCACTTAATTGTTTATAGTCTGGCTGAAAGATCTGCTTGGGACTGGTGGATTCTATATCTGCTAGCAATAGCTTGCAGGGAACGAGGGAAGTGTGTGCTAATCGAGTCTCAAGTTGTACTCTGGTTATTATACGTCTTTTCAAGTAATGGCACTTGTACCAATTGACATTGCTTGAGCTGCTGCAAAAAGCCTGCTGTACTCCGTGTGAAAGTGTGTTCCAGGAGTTGTAGCAAATATTGAAACCAGACAAGGGCAACATAATTTCAAATATTGAGGCACTGGCCTGGCATGTCTCTGAACAGTCCCAAGAGCTGAGGATCTCTCCACCGGGGCCGAAAGTAAGCCGCTCGTTCCATAGCCGTGAGAACTGGGTCCTGGGTCCGAATTAATTTCACCATCTCATAGCCTTCGTCGAATATCACCACAGTAAGCCACAATGCCATGCTCAGTGACAGTAGTCCACCCCATTTCCAGTTGTAGTTCGACCAGGTCGATTCATGACTCCATAGATATATACAAGCGCCTTCCCCATCCTTCCAACGCCTTCCTATGATCCTCCATTGGCTTTCTTCTCGGCCTCGTGCTCCTTGATTTGCTTGCTCCAGCTGCATGCCCGTTAGTATATCATCTTTCCACAAGAACATCAGGACAACGTACTACCGACTTGGGAAGAATCGCCCCTCCTCAGGAAATCTCGTCCGTACCTCCCTTTCTGCGCTCAACTTCCACATCATCGCCGTCAGACCAACAATAACCACGCCGAAGACTGCCGTGTTTGCTTTCCAGTTCGAGGGTTGCGAGTACCAGCCACCTGCTGGGGACCAGACATGTTTAGGATATCTTCACCGTAACGTTAGTAATCATCAAGCTTTGGATTACTGTGAACAGAGTGCCATCGATTGGGGATTGAGGGGAAAGTTCGCCATGGTGTTGAAAGGGCTGTTTATGAGCGATTGACTTACGGGATTTTGCCACCGCCGCCCTAGAAGCTGTCAGTAACAATCACAATGACATTGCAGAGCTTGCGAACATACCATTTTGATCAATTGCTTTGATATGCGGGTTTGTCTGTTGTTCGAAGAGAAAGCGGACGTTGGACTCGGATCAACTCAAGAACGCGGGTCCATATTAACACGTGATCCAAATTTTCAATGATCCCGTCCATCGTGTGAGCTTCGAGGAAATTTTGGGCAGGACGCAGAAGGGAGCAACAAAACGCCGCATCCCACTCACGAAACCGTGCCATTCCTTTCCTTTATTCTGCAGGGCTAGAGAGAGGAGGACTCAGGACGGGACCGATGAAGAGAATCAGATTGGAACGGTTGGGCGGGCAATTGCTCTCGCCGCGCAAGAACACACGACCATGTTGTCTACGGCTTCGAAATCCTCCTTCGACACGCTGCTTAGCTAGCTCTTTCACGCACCAGCAGATACGGTCACAGTCCTCATTTTCTTCTCCTATTTCAGATGAAGTCGTGTACGAAGATGGCGAAGCATCAGAGATACAACCGCTGGGAGACAGACATCCTTCAAGCCCCTATCCCTCACCACTCCCCGACGCAGCATTACGCTCTGCAAAGCTCGCAGCTCTACACGCACGGCTCTCCCTTCCCAAGACATTACCGCTGCAGACAATGGCACGCACACTCGTCGATCCGTCAGCGGATTCGAACACACGCTTCAACAATGCTTCGCTAGCCCAAATCGGTGGCTCCCTGATATCTTTCCACGTCTCAGAGTACCTACTTTGCACGTACCCGCGTCTACCTATTTCCGTCCTCTTCGCAGCAGCATATGCGTACAATGGCCCTAAAACACTACAGATGATCGGGCGGGAATGGGGTGTGGAATCCGCGGCTGTACCAGGCTCGGAAGTAGATCCTGGGTATCTACAATTCTCGAAGCTGCAAGCTGATGCGGAAGTTAAGGCTCAGGGTGGAACTACAAGGCCGGACAAAGCGTGGTTTTATAGAAGAGGAATGAGCAGTAGAGTGGTGTACGATGACGAGTTTGGGGACACAATTTCGAGGGACAGAGACGAGACAGCGCCCTTACCGTCCGAGACTGCATATTCGAATTTCGTGAAAGCGGTAGTGGGAGCGCTGTATCTGCATGCTGGGCGGGAAGCAGCGAAGACCTTTGTCAAGCAGCATATTCTGAGCCGACATCTGGAGATCTCGACACTATTCCAGTTCAAGGAGCCGGTGAGGGAGTTGGCGAGGTTATGTGCGCGTGAGGGATTCGAATACCCTGTTGCGAGGATATTGAGTGAGACGGGAAGGAGGAGTAGGTCGCCTGTGTTTGTGGTGGGCATTTACAGTGGGAACGATCAGCTTGGGGAGGGTGCTGGAGCGAGTCTGCCGGAGGCAAGACTCAGAGCTAGTGTTAATGCTCTGAAGGCTTGGTATCTCTATAGTCCTGGCAACAATGTGCCTGTGCCTAGCGATACGGAGTCGGCGAATGCAAGGCCTTGGGAGCCGGTGCATATCGATATTGGAGAGGTCATCCACTGAAGTGTGACCGAGATCTAGGAAGAAGTGGTAGGGGCCGGGATGGGATGGACGTATGCATAGCGAGCGTGCGTGCGTGCGGCATTGTATGATGGAGAGGAAGTAGCTGGCGAGCTCGAGATCAGAGCGGACGCCTTGTGTATTATTGGAATCTCCTTGCGTCAAATCATGCATTACAGGAGCCGAGATCATTGGGTTGGAGTAGATGTGTAAACAGCTGTAGAATATATTGATGGACATGGTAGATTCAATGGTACACTACCCACCTCCCATTCTGACTGCTACTTGAATCATACAAAGTGCGTAACCAAAAATTGCTAAGATCGCAACATGAGAACAGGACTGTGGCGCATCACTAATCTTGAGGAGTCAATTCTTTTTTGAGATCATGTCGCTCCTATAAATTTTGAAATCTTGAGCTTTCCGTATGACTTGTAAAGTCCAGTCTGCCTCTTCAATCCGACGAGAGCCAACAAATGCTCACGATGCGTGCTTCTGATTGGCCAATTGTAGAATAGACAATTGTCAAAGCCATTGGCAATGCCATGTAAAATGAAGATCAAATTTTTGGTTTCTATGAAGTGTGTATGCTATGAACACCTTGTGCAATCATATCCTAGCAATCCAAGGCCACTACTCCCATTGCCTGCATAATACAATCGTTCATTTCCTTTCGCCTGCGCCTTATGAGCAAGAGTATGGATGAGCAGAACGATGACCAATTCGAGAGTAGCTGGAGGAGAGAACAAAGATCCCTTAACGCCTGCAGTGAATGAATACCATACCGCCCCGATCGATGCATGAAGACAAACTGCATGCAATGTCAGACTCCGAATCGGCTCTGGTCTCGAGACTGCGGCAGAGCAGTGTGGAGATGCTTACCGGAAATCAAAGAGATTCGGGTATCATGAGTCGGACTTGACGTCGACTTTTTTGGCTGGCTTCTCCTCTCCTGTCTCCTCCTCACGAGCACGCTTGGTGCCATTGGAGCCTGGCTCTTCGGTCTTGGTGTCAACCTTCTTTGCAGCGCTCTCTTCAGAACCGTTTGCTTCCTCGCGAGGACGCTTCTTCTCGGAACCATCCTCAGTCTTGACTGCACCGTCGTCAAACTTGATCTCCTTCGTGTCGGCCCTGGTCAACAGTCAGCATATCATTCCGGTGAGTGAAACCCTGAGGCCGGAAGGGGAGGACCGGTTTTTCGTACTTCTCCTTATCTTCCCGCTCCCGATTTCTGTCATTGCTCCGATTGTCACGTCGGTTTCCACGACCTCCTCGATTGTCTCGGCCCCGGCCTCTGTTGTCCTTGCGGTTGTCTCTGAACCCGCTGGCACGATCATCCTCACGACGCTTCTTCCAGTCATCAGGATCGCGATCCCCGCGATCACCACGAGCTTCCCGACGGTCTCCACGTCTGTCACCACCGCCTCGGCGATCTCCTCCACGATCACCGCCTCGGCCCCGTCCGCGACCTCGTCCTCTGTAGTTTCGTTGCTCCATAGGCTCGATCTTGCCAGACTTGATCTCTTCCTCCTTCTCGTCCATGTAACTGGATATTCAAGTCAGAGGGGTGTTCAGGAAATATGAGCGCCATACACATCGGAAGGAGCTAAGGACAGATTGACGATGTGAAATCAAGACTTACGCTCTCTTTGACTTGATCAGGAGGGTATTTCCCTTCCAAAGAGGCTTAGGATCCAAAGCAAGGAACTTCTCAGCTGTTTCGTCATCCTGGAATTCGACAAAGACAGAGCCCTTGAAGAGCTTTTGATCGGTACGACGAAGACGAACGGAGTTGGTAGGGCCATAAGGAGCGAAGAAAGCCTCGATATCGAATTGCGACCCTGGCTCTTCGTCCCCGAATCCCTTGGCATAGATGGATCGGGACTCCGCTCTGGACTTTGGAGTGGTAGGGTCGTATGCAACTGCGCGCTTGACCTCCTCCATACCCTCGGGACCAGAAACAACGAGGAATTTGCTGTCACGGAGAGCTGCGACAACGGCAGATTGTGGCTGGAAGCGCTTCATGCGTCCAAATGAGCAGATCTTGGAGATGGCGACAGGAAGGTTGGAGGATCCTTGGGTTAAGTCATTGAGATACTTGTCGGATGGCAAGTTGGTGTCAGAGAAGTAGAACTCAACCTTGCGTAGAGTGTTAGTGACATGGATGAAGAATTGGGGCAATGCGACTGTCTACCTGAGCCCGGATCTTCACTGGGTCGTCAGTAGTAGGTAAGATGGACGGATCGTATTTGCTGTTATTCTTGTGATCGTCCCAGTCTTGTT